CTTAATTTTTTGGAGATCAAAAAGTAAATTTGATTTGGGTTTTTGGGGGTTTGTTAAGGGTTAAGGGTTAGGTGAGCAGGTTTAGGTAGGATAGCTTTGATTTTGAAGTTCAAAGTGAAGTTAGTTTGAGGTTTTTGATAAGAATTATAGGTTATTATCTACAAACCTTAATATTTACATGAAGAAACGAAAAATAACCATAAAAATAGCAAAAAAAAAACATAAATAAATTTGTTAATTTCAAACATGAAACTCCTTTTAGCAACATTCTGTCCCCATTAAGATCAAAATAAAATTGAATTACTATAACCTAAAGCTAAAAAGATAAAAATCCATCAATTTTCGAAACAATTTTCTTCTAATCAACCCTCTGGGTTAATACCTAATACCTAAGGGTGACTTTCGATCGGTCAATTTATCTATCAAAATGGATTGCCTCCTCCCCTCTTACCCACAATAACTCCCCCATACAATGACTCAATTCAAGATGAAGAAACCCAGAAGATGACTCAGTTCCAGTTCCACTCTAAAAGATTCGCAGAAAATATAAGAGAAAAACCCCAAACTTATAAAAATATCATCCCTTAAAAGGAAATCTCGATTTTCCTTTCAAATATTTATTTTATAAAGTTAACAAATTCGTGGAAAAAAAAAATATTTTTTGGGGGACGGCAGAGAATGCATTAGATTTCTGCTAAAGGAAGGAAAAATCTAAAAACCAAAACACAAAAGGAACTAACAAGCGGTTATACCTACTACGCCCCCCCATCAGCCGGGAAACTCTTCTAAGTGATTTGAACCCGGAAATGCCCATAAATCGATTGGATCTTTCGGTGGAAGCGAGAGGGGTAAGATGATGGGTTGTCTGTGGGTTTCCCAACACGGGGAGAAAAATTGGTATTAAAAATGAAAAATTTTTGTAATAATTTTGTATTTTTAAGATGAAATTTGATTTAACTTGAGTTTAGCTATTCTAAAATAATAACTTAAACTGAGATTTTTCGTGTAAAAAGCATAAGTAAGACCTTAGATTTTCTCTCTCAGTGTATGGCTTTTCTTTGGCTGCGGATGCATCAGACTTTATGGGCTAAATGAATGAATTGAAATGGGTGTGTGCGGACGAGTGTGTGTGTGTGGTTTGTATCGACTTGTGGCACACTTGTCTGGATTTTCCAACACCTCTCACCTCTCCTCACCACCACCCCCTGTACCGTACAATGCAAATAAAAGTTCATTACAAGCTCAGGCCAAGGCGCTTAACAGAAGCAAAAAAAAAAAAGGAGAGAAAAAACTGTTGTAAGCGAGGCTTTTGTTATATATCCCCGGCCTGTCCCACTTTGTTTTGTGTATTCTTTCTGCCTCTTTTATGGTCAACGGCCCCTCTTTCTAACGCTTCGGATTGTGGGTGGGAAACGGATAAGTCGCCTGTCCGGAAATGCTACATCCGTGTACAAGTCCATAAAGTCAATAACAAAAAAAGTGGGCAGAAAAATCCAGCTAAAGTGAAGGAAATTTTTGTGAAAAGCCAAAGGGGAAATGAATTAAGAATAAGGCAATGATTTTTCAACTTTGGTTTCCTCACATTTATGATATAGATTTCCGGCTAAGCGGTCCTTTGCCTTGATAATGCTCTCTCTATCTCTCTCTTTGATCGTAAAGTCTCCTTTTTTTAAAAATATTATGACTTTTACGAGCGATAACTATTGACGGAGTTAAAATACGACGTGAGTTTACGACATTTTGTTGTTGGGGGAAATTCGAGACACAGATTAGCCATTAAATCTATGGAAGTTTTCTCGTTTCTCCACAAAACTGCTGAAAAGAACATCTCTCGTATTAATTGAAAATGTCAATGAACTGAAGGCAATTATCGTAAATTATGCACACGCGTGGCTGAAATTCAAATATTATTATTATTTTTATTACGTGCGTAAAAGGCAAAACAAAAATCAAGAAATTTTACAAGCCACCCTCGTGAGGAGGTCGTCTGCGGGGTTGCAGAAGACTCTTCTGCCTAATGAAATGTCAACAAAAATGTGTGTGTGTTTTTTTTTTTTGGAAACAGGGAACTTGGGGTCTGGATGATGTTCTTTGTCTCAAAACGGGTGGTTGCTAGTCTGCTTTTCTTCCTTTTTGAAGTTGACTTGCGGAAATTGAAAACTTAATTGACAGAGCTGTGATATAGCCTTGTTGTGATTGTAATGAAAGTAATATAAGGGTGGCTATAGGGGTAGGTTTAAGGGGAAGATTTATGAACTAGAAAGTATGCCTTATAATCTTAGAAAGTCTTAAATTGAAGGTGAAAACTTAACTGCCACAAAAATTTTAGCTATTTTTTAAACCATTTTTAACTTTTCATGATGAAAAGAAGGGATCTTACCATCTTCTAAAAACCCACTAATCTTGTTAACTTTTTTTAAAGTAAAAATAATTTTAGTTAAATTTCCTTCTGGAAAAGTGTCTTTCCAGCAGAAAATCTCCACATATGACTCACTAGCAGACATAACAAATAAATCCCCCAGAAAATCAGAGCCAGCCAAATCCCCTAAATCGCAAATTTTCTATGCATTTTACCCGTTTGCAGACTCAGAAGTTGGCAAAAAAAAGGAAAGGAAAACCAGACAGGGGGGATATATATAAAACGAAACCATAAAAAATGCAACAGACCATAATAATTTCAACGTTTATTTTGTTTTTTTTTTTTTCGACGAACATTTTCTGCTTTTGTCGCAATCTTCCACAGAAGCAGCGGCGCCCCCCACCCCTTTTTCGCCCATCGAATTCAGGGATCTGACTATGCAAAAATGCAGCAGCCAAAAAGCACATAAAATTATTATGTGACGAGGAACGTAGAGGGAAATGAAAATCTGTTTTGGGTGGTAGGGGGTGGTGAGGGACAATGCTCAAAGGCTTTTCGGACGGCTCTCGGCCAAAAATCAGACTCAGCATGTGAGCATAAAGCTCAAATAAACTCAAGTTGTTGACAAAAGGGGTTAAAGGCCATAATTGTGGCCGTTGGCAAAAAAAGGAGGTGAGGGGAGGCGGGATAACCCTACTCCCAGGGGAACCCTGCACCCAGCCAGAACGTGTGCCCCCAGACAGAGAGTGGAATTTTCATTGGATGTGTAAACAAAACCAGCGGGGGGTGGCAGGAGGAAAGAAAATGAGCTAGTCGGAAAAGCTGTTCACTAAAATGATTTTTAAAGGGAATCTCTCAACTTGTTTATGGCCGTGTTAATGGGTTTTTGTACGAAAAACATGAGATAATCTAATAAAATGGGGGGGAAATTAATATTTTAGAGAATGTTAAAAGCTTAAAGGTGGATGGTAGAAGGGAAAAGGAATTTTCTATTTCTTAGAAAATATATTTTCCTTAAATTTTCCCATATTTTTATAACAGATTTCATTATTTGATAAGTTGTTTTCCTTAAATTTAAATTAAATTTCTTTAATTCTATCAATTATTTTGATAAACTTTTAAGTTTTTATTCCCCCGGTTTTTTGTTTTTCTTTATTTTTCTTGTTTCTTGGCTCGCCTTTCTCCCTTTTCTTATCTCCACAAAAAAGATTTCTTTACAAAAGCCAATAAAATGTATTATCAAAGTTTCGCAGAAGTTCTTTTGAAAAGCAACTCCATAAAATCAAATTTATGTATTACCTGCATTGCCAGTCCCCACCCCCCATCCAGTTTTCCTTACTTGACTTGGTCCTTACTTTTCCACCAGCTTATTTTTCACTCATTTCCCATATCGTTTTTACTCCCTGAACTTTTCAAGAGGAGAAAGATCCAAGCCGCCCCCTTTGGTCGCACTTTAAATAAGCATTAAATTGATACAACCAGAAAGTTGTTGCCTTCTCTTTCGTTTGCTTTTCCTTCTAGCCTTCTCTTTCTGCCCAAGACACTCAACAGACAGACAGACACATTCTAATCGCTTTATAACTTCTAACGCAGTTTATCAGCCTCGCACCGCAGCTCACAGCCCCCTTCATCCCTTAATTCCTTTGGTATACCCTTAGAGAGAGAGCCCACCCATGCCCATGCCATTAGAAAAGGCTCAAAGGCAAAAGTTATTGTCACGCACTAAAGTCGCTTGCATGTGGAGTTTTGTAGAGCACTGAGAGAAATTAGGAGGGCGAAATGGGGTGATATATTAGGTTGTCAAAAAAGTCTTGCGGTATTTTCGATAGTTTGCGCTGAAAGCGCGTAGTTCTTGTTTTAATCGTCGCATCGGGTCATACTTTACCTTTTTGGAAAGCTCATTTCACGCGCTAACACGTGTTTGATTGATTGTCCTTTCTTTTAAGTCGTTCGTGAGTTATAGCGTCGCAATCATGGAGCAAAATAAACAGAAAATACGGCATTTTTTACAGTACTACTACGATAAAGGCAAAAATGCATCTCAAGCCGCCAATAAAATTTGTGCAGTTTATGGACCCGATACAGTTTCCATTTCCACCGCACAACGATGGTATCAACGTTTTCGTTCTGGTGTAGAGGTGGTCGAAGATGCGCCACGCTCCGAGTTTTTTGCCAATAGGGAAGCGAGCTTCTATGAGAGGGGCATTATGAAGTTGGCATCTCGTTGGGAACACGTCATCGAACAAAACGGCGCATATTTGACTTGAATCGCATTATTGTAACCAAGTTTATACCGCAAGACTTTTTTGACAACTTAATATTATCTTCACCAGAACCCCAAAACCCTAATAACAAATCAAACTTAAAGAAAATTATAAGAAAACTTCAAATTATAAACTAAAAAATATTGTAAAAATTATAGTAAAAAATAGTAGACAAAGATTTTAGTTTTCAGTGCATATTTTTCCCTTGAAAAAGTCTACACAGACTCCCAACCTTCAAGCCAATCTCCATGGAAAAGCTCTCTAGCTATCCCCTAGCTTGCTCTTCCTTTCTCTGGGGTTTTCTTGCTTGTCTTTACTATCTTTTTTCTTTTGGTTTTTCTTAGCTTTTTCTTTTTTTGATGCTTTTTTTGCACTTTATTTTCTTTTGCTTTTATTTTTTTTTGGGACCTACGTCTAGCAAACAAGGCGGAAATTATTGTCGGCGGCGTCTTGCAGTTTTTTCTCTTCGACATTTTCCCTTTTCTTCTTGCAACTTCAATAGTTTTTTTGTTTTATTTTTTGCAATGTCAAATTGTTATTGCGTCTGGGAAATACTTTTATCTTTTTCCTATTTTCGCTTTTACTGTGATTGCATTAGGTTATGAATGGAAATAAGTAAAAAGTACCCTTAAAGTCTGAATTGGTCCGATGAGTAATTCCCTATATAGATAAGGTTATCTTTATAGCCCTATTTTAGCATTAGCAATCGCATCAAAGTGAATCCCCAATGAGTCAGGCGAAACACACACCCCTTTCGATAAGATAAACCCCATACTATCTGAAGTGTCGGGTTAGTCGAGTGCAAAATGCTATATAAATTGCTGATATCTGTGGATTGGAAAACAGTTCGCATTCAATAGGCAACGAGAGAAGTTCTCTAAAAGGAATATATCAGTTTTCCATATCAGAAAACCAAGGATTATTATATAAAAAGACCACCAAAATGCCGCCACCACACCACGAGGATCGTCTATTTGGAATCCACTTTGGATTGAATTTGGGAGGTGGTGGTCATCATCACCACCACCATCACCCACCGCCGCCGCCGCCACCGGTGCACCATCACCATCATCATGGGCCACCGCATCACCACGGACCGCCGCCACATCACCATCATCACTATGGACCTCCACCACCGCCGCCACACTTTGATCATCATCACCACCACGGAGGCCACTTTGATCATCATCATGGTCCTCCGCATGGTCATCATCATCATCATTGGTGATCAAGTGATGGAAATACCAAATGATCAATCTAATCAGTCTTTCTATGGAATATATAACAAAGGAGGGATTGTGAAATTATTTATAAACGAATTTAATTTATAACAAGTGTAAAATGTGCTAAAAAAAAAAACAAAAAACAAATATTTAAAAAAACAACAAAAAAACATTAAAAAATACTTTATAAAACTGAAAATAACAATTTTATTTGAATTTGAATTTGTCGTCGTCGTTCTTAATATTCTGATTCACAATTTTATTTTTAAAGAAATAACTTCCTCCAGATGATTTGCCTTCTGAATGATTGTTTCATTTCTCCTCCTTTTCCTACCCTTTTGTGACAAGTACTTTAGCTGCGCAATTCGACTTCATCACTATTGTTATCCCATTCATTTTCATTTAGTAAACAGCTCAAGGGATCACTTACAACAGTAGATAGGTTTGTCTCACTTACTCTTGACATATCTTTAACATTATCCGTTTACCTTCGTAATATCATAATATGAGAAAGAACGGAACTAAGAACATGCTAGGAAAGAGAGGCGGCACACAACGCCCATTACATTAAAATAAATTCAAAATAATATTTCTGTATTTATTGGATAATTTTATTCAATCAAATTTTTTCTAAGATTATTATTATAAATATTATTTATGTTATAATTATTGCAGGGGTGGTATACGCCTATGCTCTGAGTGCTAATTTGCTCGTAGCAAATGGACGTGCTCTCCCATAAGCTTTGAGCTCTCGCCATGCTATTCCATTGACAATTTTTTGTTTTCCTTTTTCCGCCTCATTCCGTCGCTAACTGTAATAAATTTTGTTCTTGTTTCTTACTCGATCATCCTCGAACACTTGCACTGGAATTCATTCGGTGTAACTCTTGTTTGCTCTTTGGAGTTTATTTCGCGGTGGAAGTACAAAACTGTTATTCTTTTTCTCAGTGTACAGCTGCAAACCAACACAAAAGCGTCACTAAATATGTGAACGTTTTCTTGTCTTTGTGTTATGCTCTGCCGTAAGACGTAGTTGAGCACCTCTGCTTTATTACTTCTTTTTGCACTTTGGTGCTTATTTCGCAGTGGACCATCGACGCGAGTATGTAATTGAAATTTTGGCGAATCAGTAAAATGAGTGATGAATTGGTTAGCAAAACAGAAACTTTTACTCTCTCTCTCTCAGTGCACAACTGCAAACCAACACAAAAACGAAACTAAATATGTGCACGTTTCATTGCATTTGTGTGTTAGTAAATGCTCTGCCGTAAGAAGATTTTAAGCACCCTTGAACTATTGTTTTCATATCAACATTGTCTCATAAAAACTATCACTAATGAGGGCTTATCTACTCAAATGACACAAAAAGTACCGACAATGCAGTTAGTTAACGACAATCGATAAAGTTGAAAATAACAACTAATCTTATCTTGATTGACATGACAATGAAATCGGCAATGCGTAATTTAACGCTTGTCCACACACATACACACACATACCAATACACATTTTAAGCTGATTACAAAGCCAAATCAAGAACATAACTAAAAAAAACAAACCTATAATTAAAGAAATTCTAAACCAATAAGAAGATTAATTAGAACCACAGCGTGGACCACCCGCATAAACAATTTGCTAAGCCGATAAACACAAATGAAATTAAATATATAATAATTTCAGTTACCGTTTTTCGGGTGGGTCAAACAAAATGTTTGCCAATTACAAAACCATTTCAAAGTGTTTATTTTTTTTTGTATTTGATTTTTCTGCGGTTGTCACAAAACGCTAATTAGACAGCCGGCTACCAAATATACGAGTATAGAGTGGGTCTCTCTCTCAATGGCCCGTATAGTAACGTGTATTTGTCTGTGGGTTATGGCCTGTCATAAAATGTAAAATGCTGCCCACGGCGTATGGGTCGTATGGGGTATCGACACCTGGAAAATATTGGTAATTAAAATTTGCCAGTTGTCGGTTAGAAAGACTCCAAACCAGCCACAAAAAAACCGCTTCCATTTCGGCCTGTCTAATAATGTTGTAAAACATGTTGCCATTAAGTAAAGCGACAGACGCCAAAACGCCCCAAAGGCAAAAGCTACAAAAAAAAAAAAAAAAAAAACGAACTGGAAAATGTTAGGAAAATGATTGAGAGGTAGGGAAATACTCTATATATCATTTGCATGGGGGAAAAAATCTAAGAAAAATAAGTTTATGAGATTTTAAAGTTCGATTTATTTTTGGGTAAAAGTCTTGCTAGGAATATGGGTCAAAAATCTTTATTAAGTAACTTTTATTACCATAAAGTATCTTTTCTATATCTCTTATCCATTGGTAGTAATTCTTGTTTTTTTTCTTTTACTATCGCTTTTTCGCCGACAAGCCAAGTTAATGGAATTGGTAGCAGCAATAGAGGTGACACTCGAGCACTCTCCTCAGGTTTTCCCACCGAAAAACTGTCAATTAAATATCAAAATTATTCGAGGCTTGCGTCGTCGTATCGACGATATACGAGTATATATATTTTTTTTGACAATTTCATGGGACAGGTCGTGGATTGACAGCCATGATATTGAAGTGCCTAAAAGGCACCTCCTCCTGCCTCCCCCTTTTTGAGTAGATGACAATTAACGTCTCAATTCATAAATGTCGCTTCGTGAAAATGCATTCCTCAAACCAAAGTTTGCTTGCTTTTAATTAAAAAACTTAAATTATGCTCATGGCCCGGCGGGCGCCGCACTCAGCAACTTCGTATATCTTAATTGTTATTTGTATTTAATTATATGGCAAAGTCGGCCCAAGTTGGCTGCGAAAGTTGAAAAATGTTGGAAAAACAACAGCAAGTGAGGGTGAGGAAATACAAAAAAGAAGTCAAAGTTGTTGCGTTGCTTTTTTTTCGTAATTAAAATGTTTACTTTACATAGTTGGCCAAGAGTTGTTGACTTTACGGTTGAAAAGGTGAGTATGAGAGATGAGGGAAAACAATAGGTAGTGATGATGGGACAGCCAAAAGATAGTATTGGTTATGCAAGACAGGGAAATAGAAAAATGGTTTGGGAAAAGTGAGAAATTGTTGAGGATATTGAGGGGTTAGAGATGTGATTTTTTACCATAATTTGATGAAATTTCTGTTTGGAAATGATTAAGAAAATGAATATTTTTAAGGAACTATTTTTGTTAATATAAATTGGTAACACTTTTACCAACCTTCTTAGAAGAAAAGTCTTTTTAAGGTCTAAAAAATCTTAAAGTCCAGTTCTTGCTAACCAAACCCAAGCCATATATCACTCTTAACAGATTATAAACCTTAAATCTCCTATACCTATACCCACAAGTATTTCCCCAGTTGTATTCAACCTACTAATTTCCCAATTTCCTCTTCTTTCAGGTATGTACTTACAGCAGCAGCTCCCTCCACACACCATAAACTAGAATTATGACTAGTGTAAGTAATGAAATGATCACCGATTCGACCTGATGGTCCATTAATGAGTTTACCCAACTGAAGTACGAGTCAATAACAGATTGAGAGAGAGAGAAAGAGACTACCAAAGACCGCAATCAAATCGGGAGAATAAACCCATTACCTGGTATAGGAGGGGCGGAGCGGGGTTACTAATCATAAGCCCATTCACATAACAATCAATGGCAATTTCTGGAATTCAGTTCGCAGGATTACTACGAAAAGCGTAATAAACTCATGAAAAATCAGAAATACGATAAGTATGTTGGGTTAACGTTCTTCTCCCACCACCCACTTCGGGGGTGGGTAATAAAAATTCCCTTGAAACCTCGAAATTCTCTCATTAAATAAACATACTTTTTCGCAAAGACAAAGGCCATTCCCATATCGAGTACGCGCATTCCAGTAAAAAAGAAAAAGAAGAGAAAATAGAAAAACTAGTCTCAAACTAAGGCCGCGTAATGTGGCTTGTTAGTACTAATGATGGGCTGTTCTCTCTCTCTTCCTCTGCCATATCCATATCAGCCCCCTGCTTCGGCGACCTTTATGGAAAAAACGAAAAAATAAATTTTTGTACATCTGCGATAGAAGCTGCGATATGAGAGCCATGGCCAAGAAGAAAAGAGCCTTTGCCTGCTTGTCATAAATTGCCATGGAGCGCCGCCAACCACAACAAGTTTCCTTTTGGACTCTCGGACGGGACTCTCAGGGATGGCAGCGTGTTGGTTAAGCTGTAAAAAAACTAATAAGGGTTTAGTTTTTAAAATAGCTTTTAATAGGTCTTAATTCCTGGTTTGATTAAGGTGTTATATTAAAGGAAAATGTTAGTAAAAAATGGGGAAGATTTTTTGAAAAATTTGAATTTTTAACCTAAAACTAACTTAAACTGTACCAGTAATGTGTTCTTGCTACAAAATCAAATCAATTTTAAGGCAATTTAAATATAATTTCAATGATTTTTTACCTCAAAAACCTAAGCTTCGTGACACCTTGACCAGCCATCTCTAATCCCCAGCCAGCGGACTCCCAGGTCCCACCAAAAAAAAGTCCACCAAGTCCGAAACAGTCCATTGGATGCCGACCGTCGCGTCCAGGCTGTAAAAATTAATAGCCAACATAATAAGCGGCATTTTATGACAAGCGTGCACCTCAGCATACACACACACACATGCATAACTAGAATCTCATGGTTACAAGTCCACGCCTTCTAGAGAAGCGCCTCTTCAGGTTTTTTTCCTTTCTGCTGCAGCATTAACGGAGTTTGGGGTAAACATTTCTCATAGACTCCACAAGGCAGAAGTCATTAGGTGAGGGATCAGTTCCGAGTCACTTTGAAAATTACGCAAATTGAAAGTTACATCGTTACATCGTTTGATGCCTGCGGTTGGGGGGGAAAACTCTGCCAAAAACACCCCCCCAAAAACTGGCTAACTAACAAGTTATAGGCTCTTCATATTATTGGCTCGGCAAGATTCCCGCTTTATGATAATTACACGCAGCGTTAAGATTTGTTTTTATACCGATTTTTGTCTAGGAAAATTGAAAAAAGTTTTTCACAGCAAGGCGAGTTAGTGAGTTGGTGGGCAAGGAAAATAGATGGTAGATTATGCAAGAGCCCGAAATATGGGAAGTTTTCTTTATATAAACAAACTAATGGATTTTTGTGGCTTTTAATTGGTTTGAAGGAGAGGTAGAGGTACTAGTTAAATGATAAAGTGGCCCATAAGTCATTACTTCACGCTGGTTAAGCTTAACTCTGCTAATACAGCTTTAGGCCATAGTTTAATTTATGAGATTTACTCCAAAAACTAACTAAACAGCCTCTTTAGACTCTTACTTCATGTCATTAACAGAACTTGCCTTGGGATCTAACATAAAATCCCCTTTGAGCTGCTTTAACCAAAGATCTGGCCATAAAAGCTTATAGAACTCGGCTGGTTATCCGTTAAGAGTCAAAGCCTGACTTTTAATGATCCAAAACAAACAAATAAAAACTTACAAAAAACATAAAAAACTAAGCACAAAGTAGTTGCTAGGCCAAGTTGAATTTTAAATTTGGTTTTTTAACTTTTGATTGTCTTTATAAGGTTTAGAGTTTGCTATAAAATTGATTGAGCAGATAACTCTTTGAATGGTAATGACAAAAAGTCAAAATTTATGATGCTAATTAGTTTTGAATGGGTGGAAAGGGGAATATATTTTAGTGAAGAATATAAACCGTAAATAAATCTTTCATCAAAAGCAATCCGAAAACGAATGACATCCAAAATGAGATTTGTCAAAGTCGTCTGCGGGCATATAAAATGCAAATTAGCTACAAAATGGTTTATCTCTTAAACCTCCCCCCTAAACCCCACATTCCCACATCTATTATTCAGCCCGTTTTCCTTATCTCCCTTGAAATGCATTTTCTTGCATTCGCTTTTTTATATTTATTTTTCCATATTTTCTCGGTTTGTGGCTTGCATTTTTATTACTTGTCAAAATACAATAAAATTTATGGCAACTTGGCAATATTTTTAACGCCAAATGCAGAGGGTTATGGGCTGCTAAGGGGCAGGACAACTGCAAGCAGAGGGCAAAAATATAAAAAAAAATCAAAGAAATCTCCCTCATAAATCATGCTAGTGGAGTCTGGCTATAAAAACAAAAGAAAAACTGCAAGAAAAAGGGAGAAAAACAGTGAAACGCAAATAAAAGTCATGAAAATAAAATTAGCCAAAAAGCGAGGGAGGGAGGGAAAATAAAGCCCATATTAATAGGCATGAAAAATGTCTAAAGTTTAATCCGTAATCGAAAATTTCCTTTTGAGAAAGTTAAAAACTCTTTCCTGCCTTTAAGAAAACTCCCGTAAATTATAGGAAATAATTCATTGGCATATAACAAACACCCAGTTTCATTATTTCGAAACCAATGAATTTCCCTAAGAGCCAGCACGCCCCACCCCCCTCGGAGGAAAATAATTAATGCCTAAACACTTTTCTTTGCTCTCTTACCTGCGGCTCATGATTTTCGCATATTTCTCAAGAGGTTTTCCACCCTCTCAATGCTCTCATTCGTTCAACGCTCAACGCTAATAATGTGAAAAATACGAAAATGAAAGGCATTTTTGTCTAATGAATTTCCACGTGGCAACGCCTGAGTTTTCCTTGGGCCTTCCTTTCATGTTGGTACGTGCCTGTGTGAAAAGCGCATTTAAATGCGGTTGTGGCAAATTAGTTAATAAATCACATGTGCAAAATTGATGAGTTGCCATTTTCTCCGGCCTTTTTTTTTTTTTTTTTTGGTTTGATTGTTTGCCATTTGTTTGGAAAATTACTTTTTCTGTAGGAAGAGGAACTTGGCTCTCTAATTAAGGTGGAGGTTTGGGTTGTTAGAGTTACTCAATGGAATACCAAATTTAGATTATGATTTTGAGCACGAATCCGAAGAGGCCAATAAACCAGCAAAGTAGACAATTGAGCAGAATTAACGTTTGGAAGGCAGTCAAAGGAAGTCTTGCAAAACTAACTCAAAAGTTCATGGTGGTGGTATCTCAAGACTTACCTTAAAGTTTTGGCCAAAAAAAATGAGAAGAGAAAAAAACTGAAATGAACTCATTGGCATTGTTGCGAGCTGTGTTCCCAATATCTCATTGTCATGTAGCTCAAATCGCTTCAGCAGTCAACAAACTACAACAACTGACAATCAGTAACTGCAATAACAACAACAACAAGCAAGCAGTAAGAGGTAACAACAACAAGCTTAAACAACAACAAGCTTAAACAACAACAACCAATAGAAAACAACACAAACAACACTTTGCATGTGTAGTCGAGGTTCCACAAACAAAGAACACTGCCACACAGGCAACAGCAACAACAACAACAACGACAACAACAACAACAACAACAACAACAAGAGCAGCCAACAAACAAATAAACCAAAAAGAAACAAAAAGTAAAGGGGGAGGGGAGGAAAACCAAAAACAATCCAAACAAGTAGAACTTGTCTAGGCCTAAGTTCAGGGGCTTAGGTCTTACAGGAATATCTTAAAAGGGGGGTTTAAGGTTAACTTTTTAGAGATTTTTTACTTTTATCAAGATTTTGAAGTGAAAATTGAATTAATTTTAGAGGGTCTACCTATTCAATCTTAATATATTTTTTTAACAATTTTCTTCTTGGGTTATACATGGTGATGGGTGGTGGCCCATGTAGCGTTTGCTTTTGGAAACTATCGATAATTTTGACTTTGACATTTCGAAAGTCATTGTCAGATATTTAGTAGAAGGTTTGCGGTTTACGAAATGGTTTAAGTTTAGGCTCGAAGAAAATTGGGAAATATTGATATTTTTATAGCGATTTTAAAAAGCAAATCTTACATGGGCCAACCTATACTTTCAATAATATAAACATGTGATAGGAAAATGTAGATCCTTATATTTGATTTTCTTCTAACTTTCTTTAAAGTCTAAAAAAGATTTCTTACTTTACTAAAATTTTAAAAACTTAATCAAAGAAAAACCAAATTACTTCCTTTAACTACCGTCTCTCTTAGCTTACTTATCTTTCAATAAACTTTCCCTCAAAATGAATAACCATCCCCTTAACCCCTTAAATCACCTACACCTCTGATCATCTCTTGCATGACCAAGAGATTTCTTTCTTGGTTATAGGTTTTCTAAGGAGACTCCAACTTGGGCCATGCCTTCGGGCCATTTAAATGACTTTTCTTTGGCTTTATTTGCCGGTTCAGTTTCGCTTAGCCTTATTTAATTTTTTTTCGTTACTTTGCTCTTTTCTGGCCCACAAGTCTGTGATGTCTAAAGTCAAGATCACAAACGTGATTTGTTGTTGTTGTTGCTGTTGCCGTGGCTTTAGGTTTTTGCTCATTTTGGCAAATGTACCAAACCAGACTATAGAAGATCGTGATCTTTAAACTAAGCAACTCTTTGGCTTGGCATTGTTTTCTTGGCCACTTTTTTTATTTTTTTTTTGTTAATGCTGTTTGCTGACTCGATCAGTCGTCACTTTGGTATTAAACTGAACTATGTAGCTAGCCATAAGAGAGAGACTTCCTTTGAATACAACTTTCTGGTTGTGGTTTGGTTTTTTTTTTTAGTTTTTTGGTGTTATTCGATTTATGTTTGTTCATTTATTTTGACAAAGCCTTTGGCTCTTTTTTCGAGCCAAACAAAATTGTGTGGGTGTTTGATATTCCTATCTCTTTTTAACCAGCATATAGCTATCTTTGTTTTATCTTTTTGTGCAGCGCCGCCAACTCAGTAAAAAGATTTGTGTGTTTATAAAGAAGGAAAAATCCCCTAGGCCCCCCACCTTTCCTGGTTTTTCCCCCGTAAACTCTGATTGATGTGGGGCACATTAATCAAGCCATTGAGGCGGTTGCCTGTTTGATGTTGCTACAAGTTTTTGATCAAGCGATCTTGTGGCACTCATAATATACTCCTCTTGCCACTATACCCTCTATATATATCGCATATACCGTTTATAGTATGACCAGGTCTGTAATCGAAGCGATCGGCAAAGTGATTTTGGTTTCGTTTACGCTCGTTTCTTTTCTCACTTGACGATCGGTTTTATTTTCGTTTGTTTTTCAACCAAGTTAATGGGCAATTTGTTTTCAATTAATTGGCTTGTTGTGTTAACTGCTTACTGATTACCCAAGTGCTGCCCAGGGGCTTCCGTTCAATCGTTATGTTCAATCTCATCAGCGATTTCTCAGCGTTTTTTGTTTTCACTTGCACTTTTTCCTTGATTTCGTCGTTCTGCTGATCATAAATTTAGCTTTGAATGAGATGCAAACTTTGCTGTCCATTAAGTGAGATCAAAGGAAAAGCGTTGGACAGTGGGAGTTATTGAGGGAATGGGGGACAAATCGAAGATTGATATGAGAAAAGGTTTTTTTTATAGAGATGTAAAAGGAAATGGTTTTAAGGGATTAATTTGGAAATCTTTGGTATTCAAAAAGTCATTTTCCTTATTTGTTAAAGTCAAATTAACTTTATATCTTAACCCCACAGCGCCCACTGTATTCTCACAAATCCCAGACAAGCGATGACACAACCTCCGTCCATTCATCTATCCATCCATCCATTCAAACTATTTGCCAGCCTCGCCAGACCATGCAAAATTCGAGCTTTATGCCACATTAACAAATGAGAGCAAAAATTTCGAGATGTTAGAAGATGGAGAGGAGCCATAGTTTGCCGCCCTTTTTGATATGCCGCCGCTAGTTGCCACAGTTTTTCTTAGAAATATATTTTTTGTTTATGGGAATGGGAGGGGAAGGAGGCAAATGAGGAAATGCTAAACAGAGAAGAACTCATCCATGGAAATGATCGCGGACAGAGCTATGGAAGAAATG